TGTAGCTCTTACCACACATCTAAAAAGCTTCTCTTTGCAACAGAGACTACTACAAGGTTCTACAGTGGGTCAAACACAGAGAATAAGTGATTTGTGAGTTTCTCTGCCCTAAGCAATACATCTACAATGCAACCTCTACACATAAAGCTCAGGAACATCACAGAAGAGGGGGTGGAAAGAATGTAAGAGCCACAGGGACAAGGTACCTACTGCTAGTTAATGCATGGTAGACATGATAGGGAGGCTACACCAATGAAATCACCACAGTATGGTAGTCTAACAAGATCTTCACAATGACAAGAAAAGTTGACATGTCATGGTAGATGAGGGAAATTTCACAGGGTCTTACCTCAAGATGCAGAGCTATAAGCAATCAAAAGATGCTGAGAGAGGGATAATCAGTTTTCTCCAGGGTTAGCTCCCTGAGATGTTATGTAATTCCAAGTAGGAAGCCCTAAACACATGTACACACGAGCACCACTAAGTGGATTTGGTACATTATATACATGTATGTAATGTATACATATATGTATACATATATGTATATGTAGTTATATATATTTATATATTTATAAATGTATATATGAGCTAGACATGGTGGTACACACCTTTAATCCAGCACTCAGGAGGCAGAGGCAGCAAGGCCAGCCTCGTCTCCATAGGGAGTTCCAGGCCAGCTGGAGCTATAAGGAGATGCTATCTTAAAAAGGCAAAAAGCAAAACCAAACAAAACAATAAAAGTAAAGGTGTGTGTGTGTGTGTCTGTGTGTGTGTGTGTGTGTAATAATAATAATAAATAAGAGATCAAGAAACTGTGGGGGGTTAAGAGCACTGACTGCCCTTGCAGAGGACCCATGTTCTGTTCCCAGCACCCACGTAGTATCTAATAACTGTCTCTAACTCCAGGGGATCCAACATCCTTTTCTGACCTCCATAGGCATTGCATGCATGGGCATACTTAAGTACATACAGGCAGTACACTCATACACATAAAAAAATTTCATTAATTAAAAAAATTAAACACACACATAAAATAAAAATAAACCAAAAAAGAAATTGTGAGGGAGTGGGGAGGAACATGAGGGGAATCAAAGGGGGACTGGGGGGTCGAGCTAATGAAAATATAATATTCATGTGAAAGTCTCAAAATTTTAGAAAAAATTTTATTCAGCTTTTGTACATTTCATACAACAGGTCTTAATCAAATTTAGACCCCCTCCCCTATCTATACCACCACCACCAACCTCGCCTGCTGGAAAAATATTTTTTTAAAAAAGAAAATGTTAACTCCCAGTATTCAAATAATGCAAGTTAAAACAGCAGTGTCATTTAATTTTTAGTCTCGTTCTAGTAGGTTTGTTTCAGATGGATAATAGTTCATTCAAAATAGTTATTCATGGGGCTTGAGGGATGGCTCAGCAGTTAAGAGCACTTCTGCTCTTCCAGTCAACCTGAGTTCAATTCCCAGCACCCATTTGGAAGGCCCACAAGTATCTGTAACTCTGGCTCTAGGGGATCTGATGTTCTCTTATGGCCTCTTCAGACCTCCAACACATGGCACATGGCATACACTCACACAGACACACACACACACACACACACACACACACGTATACATAAATAAAAATTGAAAATAAATATTTAAAAATAGTGATTCAGGGGCTGGAGAGATGGCTCAGCAGTTAAGAGCACTGCTCTTGCAGAGGACCTGGGTTCAATTCCCAACACCCATATGGCAGCTATGAACCATCCTTAATAACTCCAGTTCCAGGGGAATCTGAAGCCCTCTTCTGACCTTGCAGCATTGCACAACACAGGTGCACTCACATACATGCAGGCAACACACTCATACACATACAATAAAAATAATTTTTAAAAAATTAAAAAAAATATTCAGCCAGGCTTAGTGGTACACGCCTTTAATCCCAGCACTCGAGAGGCAGAGGCAGGCGGATCTCTGTGAGTTCAAGGCCAGCTTGGACTACATAGTGAGTTCCAGGCAAACGGGCTACAGGGACACCCTGTCTCAAAAAGACAAAAAAAAAGTTATTCTAATTTGTATAACTAATAGTTCACTAAAATCGTGGGTATACCATGTTCTTAATGATATGGAAAATATATTGACTAGATACTTTCACTTTGAAGTTACAAAGTATCCATTTTAATCTTCATAGCATGATGATAAGCTAGATCTTCTTATTTTACATTTATTGCTTCACATCAAAAGAATGCAAGTTGAATGTTAGTTAATGCAGCATCTCAAAAGTACATGGTTGCTTCTCTTCCTAGTCTCAAAATGGCTGCAGAAGCTATGCATGTCCTCTTATAAGACCTTTCATGACAGGAGGGGGATCTTTCCATTCTCAAATTATCTCCCTGATTGTCAAGAAGTAAAATCTTCATATTAGACAAGACATAGTTCCATATTCATCCTAGGTATTGGCAAAGGGAGAGAAGAATTACTAAGACTGACTTAGGCCAATTACAATACAGCTGAGAGTAGAATTAAGACTTAGAACACTTACAATACAGCTGAGAGCCAAGGAAGATGTCCACCTCCTGTGAATGTGGCTATCTTTTGTTACCTAAAGCAATTCAACAGTTTAATAGCAAGGGGAAAGAAGGACAAGCTGTTGAGAAGGGAGCCAATAGTACCTGTCATGTTTGTGTTGCTCTCTTTCTTATAAAATCAAAATTTTCTTCATAAGTAGGTATTTATTTTATGAGAGACACACTGCTGGAGTGATCTTCAACATAGATTCTGGGCCAGACTCTGTAGGAGCTACGTGGAAAGTTCCTCAATATCTGTGCACCAGCATTTTCTCCTTGTCAAGGAGAATCAGACTAACACCTACTTTTTAAGGTTGCTATGAGAATTATCAGGTTAATTTGTAAAGATTATTTGTGTTAAGTCAGGTGTCCAGCAAAACAAAATCAATAGATAGTATGGGGGAATGAAAGATAGATAGATCAACTGACTGACTGACTGACTGAATGATTGATTGATTATAAATCAGTTTTCATTACTATGGAGACAGAAGTTCCAAGATCTGCCACAAGTTGAGGAGCCATTGTATAGTTCCACTCTAAGTCTGAAGGCCTCAAAACTAGCAGAGCCAGTTAGTGGTTTAAGTTGCCATACAAAAGCTAGCATCCTTAAGACTAGGAAGAGCCAGTATTTCCACTTGAGTTGAAGGCTAGAAAAGATCAACATCCAGTTCAAGCAGTCAGCAACATAAACTCCCTCTTCCTCAATATTTCCATACTATCCAGAGCTCCAGTCAATTGGATGATGACCTTATGCTGAAGGAGGGGCAATCTGCTTTATTCAGTCTGCAAATTCTCCTGGTGATATTGTACAGAAATGTCCTCTCAGACATATTCAGAATAGTATTTGATTAAATGTCTGGGCGTTCCATGGCCCAATCAAGTTAACACATTAAAACTAACTATTGCAAGGCTAGAGAGATAGCTCAGAGGTTAAGAGCACTGACTGCTCTTGCAGAGGACCTAGGTTTGATTCCCAGCACCCACATGGCAGCTATGAATCATCCTTAACTCCAGTCCAGGGGCATCCAGAGCCCCCTTCTGACCTCCACAGCATTGCACGACATGGGTGCACTCACATGCAGGCAATACACTCATAACATAAAATAAAAGTAATAAATAAAATATTTTTTAAACTAGCTGTTGCATGCTTAGACCTATATGTATTGTTACTGTTATTATTTTATGATCTGGAAAATACTAAAAATAAGAAATTTAGTTTACAAAAGTACTGTGTTTGTGGGTTGGAGATCTAGATCAGTGAGCACACTTACCAAGTATGTACAAGGTCCAGATTTAGTCTCTGAACAGTAAAGAAGGCAGTCCTTTTTTCTCAGTCATGGTGAATATTCATACTACAGAAGGGTTTGTTTTCTAAAAACGTTAGCTCTGTGAATGTAAACTTTGCAGTCTTTCCAATTTTAATCAACTTAAATAATTCTTACTTCCTTCCTCCTATGAACAATATTCTTAGCTAGGTTCAAAATTAGATAATAATCCATGGGTCTAATGGATGTGTTTATGTATAAACTACTTTTGCAATGTAGAAAAACTAAAATAAAATATAATTATGTATCTCATTAATAAGATTTTTTATATTAGTTTCCACTGAGATCTCACACTAGATGAGATGAACCCTTGGAAACCAGCCTCAGCGAACACCTCAAGAGCACTTTTTCTCATGTTACCAGGGCTAGATCTTGCTTTCTCTTCCCATGCTTTCAACTTCCATATTTTGACAGCGCTAACCTCCACTTTCTGGTCAGTCACCTCTCAGAACGTAAGCAAAATATTTTTGCCTGACTCCACTGTATACTCCATCACCCCTTTTCCTTCAGCAGCCTCTTCTACGCTTCTCACTCTGAGTCTACCAATAATGTTGGTGTATTTATGGGTTTGAGCTTTCACCCTCTCCCCCAGGTAAATCACCAGGTAAATCACTGCATATTTTCACAACTTTTATTTCACAAATATCTATCTCTGTCTCCATCTTCTCTCTCAAGCACCTGAGCAATATTTATAGCTATGCACTGGACCCTGCCTGCTTGTCTCTGAAAAAGAAAATTCATTACATTTATTTGTGTGTCTGTGTCTGTGTCTGTGTCTGTGTGTGTGTGTGTGAGAGAGAGAGAGAGAGAGAGAGAGAGAGAGGATCAGAAGACAACTTGCAGGAGTTGGTCCTCTGCTTCCACCATATGGGTTCCAGAGATCCAACTCAGGTCATTAGTCTTGGTGGGAGGCTCCTTTATTCTCTGAACAATCTCACCGACCCATCTCTTCTTTAGCTACCACAAGCTCAACAAAATCAGAACAAAATTCATTTTTTTCCAATCTTGCTAAACCAGTAACTTCATTTGTAATAAACATCAATATATCTCTCCAAAGGAATATATATTTCCAGTTGATGAAATCCAAATTGATGAATCCTCACACATTTATACTTTATCTTTTAGATTATCATCTGTGGAAGACAGGTCATCTGTAGTTATTTGTCTCAGAGCATCGAACTAAAAGTTGTTCAGCATTATATTGGTCAGGATGGACAAGCTGTGGTTCGAGAACACTTTGACTGCCTCACAGCCAAACAGAAACTGCCTTCATACATATTAGAAAACTGTGAACTGACAGAATTGTGTGTGAAGGCCAAAGGAGATGAAGACTGGTCAAGAGATGTGTGCCTGGACCCCAAAGCCTCTAAGTATAGCCTTGTCATCCAGGTATGAGGGCTGTTAAGGTCTAGAATAGAGTGTTTTTAGAACAGAAATGTTCTCAATATGCATATTACTTGATATAGGACTGATTTTGTTCATAATAAAACAAAAAGTAATATATGCAGAAAGGGAGAAATCTGAAAAAAAAAAACATAGAAAAACTTTGGCTAGTGTTTCTCAAATAATTGCCTCCCTATCTATGTCCCAGATGCCTGTGAGATGAACCTTGAAAAAAAATTCTGGTGTACCAGGACTTGGGTGGTACTATGGTTGTGACCTCTGCCCTTGAGACTTTTTGTGACTTTTTACCTTTCTCAATTTTAACTACCATCATTATCATTCCCATAAAACCAGATCGTTATTCTCCTACTCCATCTTCTGTCACTCTCCATATGCCAAGCCCTTCATCTTTGTGGAAGGAATTGTCCCTGTTGTCTGACGACACATTCCATTTGTGTCTTCATAAAGTCTGGTTATGCTTAGCTGGTTTTCTTAGTGACATTTTCCTATAACTGTAAACTTCATTTATCATCTAAACTAATACTCTATCTGTGTCTTCTTTTGATTAACTAGCAGGCTATTTAATATCTAATAGGACCTTTACCTCTCTCATGTGCAGGTGCCAGCTTCAAACAGTTCCATTATTTATGTCTGGTGCACAGTTTTGACTTTGGAACCCAACTCTCAAGTTCAACAGCGAATGGTGAGTGCTTTCCCAACCCTGAAATATGGCATACAACTCTAACCTTTCCTGTTCTCAAATAAATGAAGGTCAGAGTGACCCAGAGAAGAGATTTATTACAAGTTTGTCTCAGCATCAAACAGCTGGAATACTGCAACAAAGCAAATATGAAAGTTGTTCTGTCCTCTTATTTTTATAGATTGTGTTCAGCCCTCTTTTTATCATGAGGAGTCATCTTCCAGACCCCATTATCATACATTTGGAGAAAAGAAGCCTGGGATTGAGTGAAACACAGATTATTCCAGGAAAGGGGCAGGAAAATCCACTGCAGAACATAGAACCTGACCTTGTGCATCATCTAACATTTCAAGCAAGGTATAAGGAGAATAGATTTTATTCTTGTATTTTCTAAAGAGAAATTTGGGTGAAAAATCACCTCATACTGTTGGTGAGGAGAGCATAGATATAGTTTATTTTATGATTTTTTTATCTTAAAAGAGTGTTATTTTTAAATTGCTCTGCCTAGTATTCTTTTATTCTTTAAGTTTAGATAAAATTCAGCCTTCTTCATTAAGATTAGAAATAATCAAGAGGGATCATTTAAAACTGTATTTTGACTGAGATCTAATTGGCACATTTCAGCAGTGAAGGAATGACTAGAAGTCCCACTCAGGCCTGGGCAGGTGGGGGGAAAACCAGGGCCCATATCATCCAAAACCATGCCATCCAAAATCATTAATTTGTAAGTTGAAAAAAAAAAAAAGCACTCACCAACAAAGCATATTGATCTAAGTACATTTGTAGTTGGATTTTTTTCGGTAAATTATAGACCACTTGGAAATTGGATATTATTTTTTTCTTTCCACTTCCTAGAGAAGAATATGATCCTTCGGATTGTGCTATTCCCATATCCACAGCTCTCATTAAGCAAATAACCACCAAAATACAACCTGAAGGCACAGTTAATCAGATCCTTGATGAATTCTATGGGCCAGAAAAGCCCCTTGAACTCATTTGGCCTTACAATAAGAAGGAATCTGACAGGTAACAGTCTTCATCAATTTTCTACGCATACTTCTATGCATTAGAAAATGACCGTCGACAAAAATACTAGATGTATTAGTCAAACTTCTTGTCACTGTGACAAATACCTAAGTAAAACCCGTTGCAGGAGGAAAGGTTTATTTTGACTCGTGGTTTCAGAGGTTTCTGTCCATTATGACTGGGGAGATGTCACAGAGCAGAACAGCTCACATCATGACAGCCAGGAAGTAGTGAAGAGTGTCTGTGCTCTTGGCTTTCTCCTTTTTATTCATATTCCACCTGAGCTCAACCTAGGGGAAGTGCAGCTCACATTCAGGAATCCTCTCTTGAAGCAAGCTCAGAGACACACCCAGGATCTGTTTTGCTAGTCATCTCATAGGCACATCTCAGTCTAGTCAAGTTTACATTCATAATTAACCATTATGCTAGATACAATAAATGGGGAAAGGTGTCTGCAATGCATCATTAGATTCTGATTTACTGTATAGTTTGGTGTAGCTTTATGGATTTTTTTTCATATTGTGGAACATAATTACGTGAAAGTTGCTTTCTTCTGCTTGCAAATTTAACACTGAATGAGCCTGGTCTGAAAAGGTATCATGGAGGAGCATTGTATGTCTTGAATATTTAAGCCTATCTCATAAATACTGAACTCCTCATATTTCACTGAGTGACTTGGATGTGGTATTTGGAACAGGAATGAACAGCTGAGTCAGTGGGATAGCCCAATGCGAGTGAAATTGTCAGTCTGGAAGCCATATGTTCAAACCTTGTTGATAGAACTTCTGCCCTGGGCCCTGCTTATCAATCAATCCAAATGGGACCTCTGGCTGTTTGAAGGAGAAAAGATTGTTCTACAGGTTCCAGCTGGCAAAATTATTATTCCACCTAATTTTCAGGTAATATAACTTAAAACTAGTATATTCTTTTCTCACAGCAACTAGATTTTATTCTGAGGTTGCATTTGTGATCTTAGTGAGATAAATCACTTGTGGAAAACTGACCTGGTAGGTGCATACATGAAGGGTTTGGAATGTTCTTTGATATTCAAAGACTTTTCAGATGCGTTTTTCCCTATCAGCAGTACCCATGGCTGAATTACCATTAAAGTTGATAACTTGCTCTAGTTATTCTTATTGCCATCATGTACAAGATATTTGACAAGCATAAGAGCTGCATTTATGTTAATCTACTGCCTTCATATTCTGTGCATTTCTAGAAATTCTCTGAAATATGCAAGTTATTGACAGTTTCTGAGCAACTGTTTTTGTCAGGGCCCCTTTTCTAAGTGGGCTTCAATGTCCATAATTATGAGTGTTCATTTGTTCATTTGGTTGTTGATTATAACAACATAAAAGCATTATGTTGACACAGGGTAGACAATCCTAATTACAAAACAAAATTTCACAGGAAGATCATATTCTGGCACAAGACTACTGACTTTATAAAGCTAGCTCATTTCAAAAAGATGCATAAATCTATAAAAAAACTTTATAAAATGTTTTCCTAGTAGAGAATAATTTAGAGTTCTCTGTTCAAGTTCCAGTCCATAAACATCTTTATTCAATTGTATTTTTCCTATTTCTTTAAGAAATCAGATGCTATTACCTTATGGAATTGGAATGTTGGCCTATATGGACCTAATGTTGCCCATTATCTAGTTGTCAAATGAGATGAAACCTTTCAGTTTTTAAGTCTTTGGAATTTATAGGATAGTCACATCTTGAGTTTTGTTTCTCACCCCTTCCGTGAACATGTATTTCATTGTGAATCAAAAAGACATTGAAAACCAAAACAAAATATATATATTGTCATTTCAAAAAAAAGGTAGAAAAAACGAGATACAGATATTTGGTTGTCCTAATAGATCTATTCTATGATATTTTTAAATCTTGGAGATCGAGGTAAAAAATATCAGAGTTAAGAACAATGCTTTACAATTAAGGCATTATTTTTTTCCAGGAAGCTTTTCAAATTGGAATATACTGGGCAAATACAAACACTGTGCACAAGTCAGTAGCAATTAAGCTGGTCCATAATCTGACATCTCCAAAATGGAAAGATGGAGGTCATGGCGAAGTTGTGATACTGGACGAAGAAGCTTTTGTTGATGCTGAGATAAGACTTGGTGCTTTCCCAGGCCATCGAAAGGTATGCTCAAAGGGTGTGTGTGCAAGGGAAACGATAGGCCATTCTCTTAGACTATTTAAAGTGTGTCTACCTTGCCTTTTAAAGTCCCTTTCTGGTGTTACTTACTCTAAATAATTTATAACAGTGAAATACCTGTTTTCTTAACTTCCTAGACCTCTGTTTTACAGTGGAATTTTTCCCCCATTACTGGAGATAAAAGCTGAGTCACATAATTTATCCAGTAACTGCTCTATTTCAGAACCACTCAACAGTCACTTGACTTACAGTATGGGGTGGGGGGCAGTGAACTTATTCCCAAATATTCACAAAAATGTTTGACTTCCTTCTTCAGAACGAGGAATATCTGGTATTGTGAGCATTAAGTGAAAAGACAAAGACTACAGGAGAGGTTATCTTGATGGAAAGGGTATATTCAGCAAAATGATGGGACCAGTCTGGTTCTGCTGCAAAATCAATGTTATAAGAAGGAATTAGGTCCTCAGCAGTGGACTGGTACCCATGCCTTTAGAGATGTGGATTCCAAAAACATAGTTATTTAATAAAATGCAAATGGTGTGTGCTTTTCTCATAAGTCTAAAATGTATGAAAACTGATTAGCTGAATAATACAGTGTCTCATCACATTAAACTGTCTGTGTGAAAGTGCAGTTCATAGTATACCAAGGGAAAGACTCATGAGTGTTTTTATCTTCATTATGTTTGCTATCCAAAGTGGGAAAAAGAAGGAACACTTCATCAGCATAGTAGAATTCACAATGGCTCTCTCTGGTGAGAAATTGGATTTTTGTTGAGTATCTTTAAAAAGCCTTTGAGAAAAGTTAATCACTTTTTAAAAAATAAATTTCCTTGAAACACAAAGTCAGTCTAAGACTGGTATCCATTTCCAAAAATTGTCTGGGCAACACATGTTTATGTTCTGCTGACCAAAGTATTATAATGGATGTTAATGGCAAAGACTCATTTGAATCACCTGAAGTTGAATAGTTAGTTGTAAGTTGAGAACTACTATCGAAACGGCGGGGAGGGGGGTATTCTACAATATATAGTCAAAACACCCAGTACCTCTGTCACATCACATAGTGTTCACAGCAAGTGCTGAATAAATATTTGAGTGAGTGAATGAATGAATGAATGATTGAATGAATGAATGAGCTGTTAAAAAGTACATTTATGTAATTATTTTTTAGTAGTAATTCTCAAACTTTTTAGTCTCAGGACTCCTTTATACTCTTAATCCCAGAGACTTTTGGTTTTTGTGGGTTCTATCCATTTTCACCACATTAGAAATTAAAACAGAACTTTTTTTCTAAGTATAAGAATTTAAGTACATTCTTAGCCAAAAGAATGTGGTATCATATATTACATTGCCTCTGGGAAACTCTGCTGTATACTCATAAGGAAGTTAAAGTAAAAAGATAAATAGCACTTTAGTATTATCATAAGAGTGGTTTTCACCTGGTATAGAGATGACCCATGCATCCTCCAGATCCCTTTGAGAACTGCTGTTCTGAGATTATCACCTATTTCATGGGTACCTTTAGGCAGGTGGCATATCTAGCTGTTCCTTGGGGAAGCATAATACAAGGAAATGACACATAGCAGTGAAGAACAGTGTATAAACCTGACCACGTGCACTCTACCCTCAGCTATACCTTGGACAAGTTGTCTTCCTCTTCTGTATTGCGGGGATAATAGTGACTGTCCTATGTAGGTATTCTGAGGGATTTGTGATTTAATATACATAAAATACTTAAAACAGATTGGAATCACAATATAATGTTATATGAGGGTCAGTAATTTTTTTCCTCATCATCATCTCTTAAAGTCTCCAGACTCTCATTGGTGCATACTGGGTATTCTGTGGATTGCTGCTGTAATGAACTTGAGGAAGAGGGTGCTGGGTTGAATACTGTTGAATAAGATATGTGGTATTTGTCTACATATTAATGATTTGTAATTACTGTATGAGATTGTTTGTGAAATAACCTGAAAACAAGTCTCTTCTCTGTCACTACACCATAGCAGCAATAATTGGCTTACTGAAGGGCCCTGTTAATACTAGCCCCTTAACTGACCAGGATATTTTTGAGACCAAAAAAGGAATGCATGTTAAATATTTTTTTAAAACACTGAAACTGTCCTGGGAAAACCCATACATAAAACAACTTTTTCTTTTGCATTTTTTTACTGAATTTTTGTGATTTTCATATGATCCAATTTGATGGCATTTAAATTTGCTACCCTCTCCCCACCTCCTCACACTGCCCCCCCACCCAATTTAATGAACTCTCTAATATACATAATATGGCCTATAGAGAATAATTTGTGTCCCCATATGTCCTTCAGCGTGGATCCATCCATTGGGCCCACTAAGAGTCCCAACCTTTTAAGACATTGCCTTTCCCCCTCCCAACAGCCATCAAGTGCCAAAAGTTCCTTAGGTTGAGTTGGAGTTTCTTAGGTCCTTCCCCATGGCTGTGCTGGGATTTGTCTGGTTTGAGCTTGCACAGGACTTATGCATGCTGTCACCATTGCTGTGAGTTCATATGAGTAAATGACCAACTGTCTCAAAGATGCTGATAAAACAACCTTTTAAGAATAGTTGAGGCCAGGACTAGCACTTGAAAGGTAGAGGTAAGAATATCAAGTTCAAGTTCATCCTCAGCTACTTAGTAAGTTCAAGACCACCTAGGGATACATTTGAGCCTATCTCAAAAACAAAAATATTGAGCCAGGTATTGTGTACATACCTGTAATCTCAGCATTTTGGAGATGGAGGCACAAGGCTTCAGAAATTGGAGACAGCTTGGACTACAGTGAGCCTCTGTGGCTGTATTTAAAAAATTGCTTTCTTTCCCTCTTTTTCCTGCAGTTGTGTCAGTTCTGCATTTCCTCCATGGTGCAGCAAGGCATACAAATTATTCAGATTGAAGACAAGACTACAATAATCAATAATACTCCGTATCAAATATTTTATAAGCCACAATTATCTGTCTCCAATCCCCATTCTGGAAAGGAGGTAAGCAGTCTATAACACAGTTGTTTTGCCTGTTTTTATCAATTCACCATTAATAAAATCTTTTTTAGCCTGGGGCAAAGAAAATTCTAACACTAAATATGCATAAAGAGAAATCTGCTTGTTTGTGCTAGACTTAAAACCATGGATGGCATAGTGAAGCTGCCAAGATGACAGTGAGCAGAAATCTAGGCTGCAGACCTTCACATTGCTGCCTTAGCTCTGCCTGAGCAGCACCTGCTCAGCGGGGCCAGGGTGGTGCTCAAGCAGGCTCTCTAAACCTCCACTACCAGAGAAGTGGATTGGCTCTGGGTAGCAGATTAAAGAGCATGTACCCACAGGCTGCAGCACCCAGGAGCCCTGTGGGCAGAGTACGACTACACGAACTGAGCCATGGCTCATAGAGCAACCAATGTTTTGTGTCCACAGCAAAGCACGTGTTGCAATGTGCCAGCTCATTCATGTTAACATCTCAGCTGCAGAATGTGCAGAAAACAATCCCAAGAATATTCAGAGTGATTTATTTTTAATTCTTTGTACAATTCACATGAACATTTTCATTTTAAGAGAGTAAATAGAATTGTTTTCAAAGCTTAGGATATGGCAAGTAGAATGCAACTCTTTTATGCTACTGAAACTATCATATAGAAAATTATTATTGTTCTTTATTTTAGTCTGCACTTATTACTGCCTATTACAAATTGTAAAAGTTACACTAGAATAATCTAATAGGCTTACTGTCTCAGGCATTTTAGTTTACAGTGTATTGTGGCATTTATAAAATGTCAGAACAATAGAATTTCGTACAGATTCACTTACTTACCTTAGCTTCCTAGAGAGAAGGAGGTCGGTTTCCTCCCTGAAACGAAGGAGTGTCCCCTTTTATATTTTTTTTTCTTTTTTATTGAATTTTTATGTATTTCATACATCTTAATCATATTTGGACCTCTTCCCCTATCTGCACTTACCCCATAGTCACCCCACCAATTTCATGCATTCTATCATATATGTTAAGGCCTATCAAGTCAAGTTTATGTCCTCAGATGTCCCTCTGTATAAGTCCATCCACTGGAGCCTGGTCAGTCTATCTAGTATCACTCCTTTAAAGAAAACCAATTCTCCCTCATGCAACAGTGATCAGCTACCAATAATTCCTCAGCTAAGGTTGGGACTTCCTACCCATTTCCCCACTTCTATAATGGGTTTTTGTCTGGTTTGATTTTACCTGGGTCTTTTTTCAACACTGACCCTCCTTGGGCAGGTGGGATTTTTTTTTTTTTTTTTTAGACATGCTAGTCACTAGCCATTCTAGGAGACTGTGAGAAATGGGGGAAACCTGGCTTCTGGATAGACTCTACCACTTACTGGCCTGGTGATACCTGAAAAGTCATTAGTTCACTGGAAAGCAGCTTCAAATTCTGAGCAAGGAGGTATAAACAGATTATCCCTGGAGATCCTTTTCGAAGTCTAAAATTGAGATAGGGACCGGTAAGATGGCTCAGTGACTAAGGGCATTCACCGCCAAGCCTGACGTGTTCTGCAAAACCCACATAATAGAAGGAGAGAACCCAGATACTCTAATGCCCAAAACCATATAGAATTGCATCTGAAGGTGAGGGTCAGAGCAGGCTCCTTCCTCAAAGTGAGGCTTAAAATTTGTATTCTCAACTCCTAGGTCCTTGTTCTGAGTTCAGATCTCTCCTCCTGAAGTCCCCCAGAATGCCATACCTTTTCCATGCACACCTGTCCCAGACAGCTCTTTCTCTGGCACATGGCATCTCTAGCCCTAGGCCGTCAGGACATCTGCAGTACCTGTGGGGCAGTGAGAACTAGGCACTACCTTCCAGATCAGCCCAGCTCCATCTGCTTCATTATGCCCAGAGCAGCAGCCCCTGCTTCCATGACCACATCAGAACACTCCAGTGGAAACAGGACCAGTGGCATCCTCTGTCCTCATCAGGGCCACTCTCCGAGTATGTGGTTACAGTTTCTTCAAAGCTCTGCTTCTCTGCATGGCTGTAGCAAATGCACCCCTCTGCATTGTCTTTCAGCGTTTTCATGTTCCAGACAGTGCTACATTCAGCATTTGCCCAGGTGGAGAGCAGTTGGCTATGAAATCCAGCTCCTTGCCTTGCTGGGACTTCATGCCCAATGTTGGGCCATCAGGGTTGGATGTGTCGATGCTTCAGAAACAGATCTTGCTAGGCTTTTCTCCTGCGCCAGGATCCAACAGCTCACAGTGCTGGAGCCTGCCAGCCATAGTTAAACAAGAGTTTCCCAGACAGAGTGTAGCAGTACCCTTCGGGACCTTTCAGGAAAATGGATTCTGCACAAGGTATTTTATACAAGTGTGAATGCTCTTCTTTGCTTGTCAGTGTTGCTGGTTCATGGGAGACCAGGGTAGACAGACTAGTACTGGTTCCCATATGTAATGCTAGGTTTTCCTTTTATCTTTAATGACTTCTAGACCTTGGATACAGTTGGACAAAGGCCATGATCAGAAACAGGTTTTCCTAGCATACAGCTTAGGAGATTTTTCCCCTTTGTATCTTATGCTGGGTCAGGGGAGGACCATAGAATGGCAGTAATGTATGGTAATGAAAAAGAAATCACGTTCTTTTAGGGGCTCTTACTTTCTGTAAAATGATGAGAAATTGAGACAAAAGTCAAAGAAAGGCAAATTGGAAAGCTTTTTCTTTTCCAATATTTTACTTTTACTTCAAAATGGAATTTTTCACAAAAAGCCATTTAGAGAGATAATAACTTAGATAAACATAAGCCAAGGAATATTCTGTGCTGCGGTTGTTCCTGCACGCAAGTTGTTCCAATTGCAGATTACCAATTATGCAAATAACAACCACAGAATCAAGCCAGAGTCATGTAATAGGTTGTTCATACTGGACTTCTGCTCTGTGGTTGTTTTGTATGCAGCACGCCCTTTCTGCAGCTGTCAAGAATAGCTTACTTATGGTATATATAACAACTACAAACGAAAACATGTTGTGACCTTACAAGAGGTGCCTTCTTCTCATAGTCCTGTATTTATATATGCTGGGATTTAAGCCATCTAAGTTTTTTGATGTATGCAGAGATTTTTAATAATATGTTTAAAGATAATAGCTTAACTCAAGATACCTATATTGGTGAAGTCTTATTTCCTCCACACATCCTTCTTTCATAGTCACAAAGACATCTGATTTAACCAGCATTTTTCATCCCTATCCCTGTGAGAAATGGTTACTTTTTTGTTTTGGTTTTAGATAATGTTAAGTGTGTTGAGTGTTCTTGAAAGGTATGTGAATTTATGTCTGTAAAACAAAAGTTATTTTTAAATGGAAAGTCAAATTTTTTAAACAAAACACTTGGAAATTAAGTTAAAATTTTAAGGCTCATAGTATAAATTAATCTCATCTGTAAATATTAAGCTAAGTTAGTTAAAAGTACCATACCATAGTCCTGGCCCTGAGTTTTATAGCCGTCAAAAGGAAATTGTCTGAAGTTGGCTTGCCCAACTCTTTCAAAATTAAACTGAAAAAAATACATAAGAAATTACCTAATTTCTTTCATTTTGATAATCAGCACATCAAAGAGAATTTTTCTTCCTGGTTAGGCAAAAAATACCATTTGATAATCTATAGAACAAGAAATTTTTCTTTATTGTGGAGGGTAATCTGTGCCCAGACAGCCACTTAAAAACAAGTAATTGCAGCTTTGCTCTGATGACCAGAATGTGGATCCTGTAAAGTATGATCGTCCTGTGCAAACTAATAGCACAGACTAAGTGCCAACCTTGAGAATGAAAAAAAGAACAAACACACAAACTATCTAGCAACTTCTAAAAAAGATTTAAAATGGTCAGTTCCTCGTTTACCAAAATTTGTCAAGCTGTTTTTAGGAAGAAGAAAGTGCCCTGTCTGAAAAGTGTAAGGCACCTAAGCACAGATGAGAAAGAGCAACAGACAGGTAGCACGAGGCCTGTGATTGTTCATTTGGGTAATGGGGTTTTGGGTTTTTATCTGAAAGAAACATTCATACTTTTTGAGCATTTTATGATAAACACAGTTATTATTACTATAAAAATAAGTAAACCAAGAAATCAGTAAACAAAAATCAGTCTGTAAATGTCAGCTATTAAATAAGGGACAGGCTCCTTTCTCTAGGAAACATTCTCTGAGTTAGAAAAGAGGTATTCCAGTGTTTGGAATTCTGCAGATCCAGGTAAATGTGGGCCAGCAGAGGAGCCTGCATCCCTTTATAAACCATCCTCTTGGTGATTCTGTTATAGGGCTATAGCACTGACATATCAAGAACACTTTGGAGTCACTTACTTAACCCTCTCAGAAGACCTGAGTCCTCGAGTCATTTTCCACAACAGATGTCCAGTAACAGTACTTATAAAGGAAAACATCAAAGGTACATGTTACAGCATTGAATTGAAATGATCTAAAAATGATCTTAGATTCTTTTAGAAGTTTTGATTTAGTAGATACCTGTGATCCTATAAAGAATGCTTACTAAATGGAAGTATTATTTATCCTTTCCACATTATTTTATATCCCTAAGTCTTTGTCTTTAAGGCCTAAGCCTGCATTTGCCTTCTTTTTAATTTCAGATATTCCAAAGTTTGAAGTTTATTGCAGAAAAATTCCTTCTGGGAGTTCAGTTCATCATGAGCTGTATCACCAGATTGCCAGTTATCCAGACTGCAAGACCAAAGACTTACTTCCCAGCCTTTGTTTGAGAGTAGAGTTGCTAGAAGAGATGGCAACTGAGTGGGGTGATGCTGTTGACATCAACAGTCAGGGAACACAGGTCAGCAATTACTATTTTAAACAGTTATTTATTTATTTATATATTATTTATTTATTGTTTGTGTGTGTATGTATTGTGTGTGCATGCATGCATACCCACTGAGCAATCTCACTAACCCTAAAGACAGTTTTCTAAATGCTGAATTTGTTGGGCCAGCGAGATGGTTCAGCAGGTAAATGGACTTGTTACTAAACCTAATGACTTTAGTTCAATCACTGCGACCACATGGTGGAAGGAGAGAACTGACTCTCACAGGTTGTCCTCTGACCTCCACATACATGCCCTGGCATGCATGTATACATATACAAAATAAGTAAATAAATAACAAATAAATGTAAAAAGTTAAAATTAAGTGCTGAACTTGTCTCTATGTGAGGATGCTTATCTATTTTACATCTTCATCAGGCCATAAGTTCTTAAACATAAATATATGTCTCCAAAGAATACTATTCAACTGTTTGTGAGTGAGGCACTTGGTAAAATGAATCCATCTCAGATCTAATACAGATTAAAACTGGAATAAAATTATAGATTTCATTATATAGAAGGTAGTACAGTTGTTCAAATTTTAGGATGATTATATAGAATATTAATTCTAGATTAATTACCGCTTTAGAAAGTTTGCCAATTTTAAATCGTGCATATTTATGCTAGTAAACTACAGACTCTCAAGCAGGTAAAATATCCTAGTTTGCTTTTACCTCACTCTAAATACTGGTGGTATTATTTTTATTGAAAATGAGACACAACCTAGCACTTCTTTTCTGGTATGCTTAAATTTTAAAGAAAAATTTATAATGTACAATCATCACCACTGTGTCAGTGAGTTTTCTGTCACTAGTACAAAATACCTGAGAAAATCAACTTAAAAGAAAAAAGGGTTATTTTAGCTCATGGTTTCAGAGCTTCCAGTTTTAACCCAAATGTTTGTAGGCATGTGGCAAGGCAGAAGCATAATGGTGCAAAGATACAGCATAGGAAAGTTGCTTGTATCAGGGAAATCTGCAAGCAGGGAGGCCAGGACAAAATACAACTCCCGCCCCCAATGTTCCAATGACCTGCTTCATCCACTAGGACCCACTTCCTAACAGTTGATTCAACTATGGACTCAGGAATGGATGCTCCATTGATGAAGTTAGTACCCTTATCATCCAGTCACCCCTCAATAGCACCACCAGCTGGGGACCAGCTTTTAACACATGAACATTGGGGCATTTATATCCAAACCATAACAATCACTATATTTCAAAGTTTTCATCATTCCAAACAAACTGTACTCATTCTCCCCTCCCCAACCCTTGGTAGCCTCTGTTCTATTCCATCTCTATGAATTTACCTACTCTAAGCATCTCAGATAAGAGAATCATGAAGTATCTGTCCTTTTTTTTTTGTCTGTTTATTTCACTTAGTATATGGTCTTAAAGGCTTATTTGTGTTATAGTGTGTCGTAACTTCATTCCTTTCTATGGCCAAATAAAATTGTGCTTATACTTTCTGAAAGGTCTTTCACTTTTACTTGTTCATCTAGTCTTTACAACAAGCTTACAACGTAGGTTCTGTTGCAATGACTGTAAAATACATGTGTGCTGGATAGCTTTAGTGTCAACTTGACACACCTGGGTTGAGGGAGCCTCAATTGGGGAATTGCTTCTGTTGGACTGGCCTGTGGCCATGTCTGAAGGGCATCTTCTTGATGAGTGATGTGGGAGGGCCCAGCCCACTGTGGGTGGTGCCACCCCTGGGCAGGTGGGCCTGTGTTGCATAAGAAAGCAGGCTGAACAGGGGCCAGGGGAGCAAACCAGTAAGCGGTGATCCTCTGTGGCCTGTGCTCCAGCTCCTGCTTCCAGGTTCCTGCCGAGTTCCTGCCTTGGGCTCCCTGATGAACTGTGACCCAGGAGATGTAAGATAAATAAAATCTTTCCTCCCCAAGTTGGTAGTGGTCAGAGTGTTTTGTCACAGCAATGAAGAACAAACTAGGACAACATATTAAAAGTATAAATATATTTACAATAATAATTATTATTTAGTTACTGTTTTGTAACCATCCTATGCCAAACATTGTTCTGAACATTTTCACTCTTCTCCAAGTTCTACAACAGCCAAGCACATTAAGGCTCGTTCTGGTAGAAAATGCGTCCTCCAACAGTAGCACATCCTAAACCCTAAATCCTAGACAGTATAGAAGAACCTGGGGTTCCGTCCACTCTGCCCAGCTCCAACACCCATGCCAGAGCACTGTGCTGCACGTGCCATTTCTTTGCTTGGAATCCCTTGGCTCTTTTCTTTCCTAGATTTCTGGGACAGTCTTCTTCCTCTCAGGAGTTAACGAGAGCCCTGGACAGTGTCCCGCCTTACCCTCTGGACCCTCTAGATATGCTCACATAACATGTATAGTATTTAATTTACTTCTCTTTTATTTTTTAAGAATTAGGCATTCAGAATTCCCTATGTGATATTTATTCTACTTGAATGAAAAAAATAACAGAAACAGTTATACAGTGCAAACCATTGAGGATGTTGTTTTTGTTCTAAAAAGTTGTAGGAAGTCAGCATACCCAGTAATGTCAAATTGCATGCGTGTGTGTGTGTGTGTGTGTTATTCCCCTACTCCCTTACGGGTCCCCTTTCTCTTCCCAAATAATTCCCCTTCTAATTTCATGTCTAATTATTTTAAATTTAGATTCTACATATGAGAGAAAGTACTTGTCTTCCTGAGTCTGTATTTAACCATGATGTCTCCTGGTCTATCCATTTTCCTGCAAGTGGCATAATTTAGTTCTTCATTATGGCTGAATAAGACTTCATTGCGGATATAAACCACCTTTTCTTTATCCATTCATCTGTTGATAGCCACCTAATTTGCAGTTATTTAAATAATCTTCTACCACATCAAGATTCCTGGTGGTTTTAGCAGAGTACCTGTCAACACAGTAAGATTTTAATAAATGTCAGCTGAATAAGTCGATGACCAAATGAATGGATTGATTAAGAAAATTTGGTTGCCATGAGATTGTGTTGAGGAGGCCAAGAGAGCCCCAGATATAACTTGGAAGCTTGGAGCAGCAAAAGAGGTAAAAGAGTGGGAGACAAGGGGGAAAGAGCCAAGTGGTGGGAGGAGAGCCTGAGCCCTGAGTAGATGACAGGAATGCCCTCAGAGGAGATGGCTACAGAGACCCTGCCAAGAGGATGAGCAGGACTATGAGAACTTGCAAGTTGTAAGTGAACAAAAGTGGGTAAGCAAGGTAGAATTGTTTGCTCAGGAGCATGGCCACAAAAATGAGGTTAGTGTAGAGGAAGCTGTTCACATGATAGGTGAGGAGCCAGTGAGGAGAGAGTGAATGAGATGGCACCTAGAGAGGCAAATCCAAGGAACAAGCAGAGTAATCCACTCACAAGAGGAAAACAGGCTAGAATGGGCACAGGGGTAGGTGCAGCCATGTAGGAAGAGGGGGCTGGACAGTTAAGTGAATGGGTTCTCAGTAGCCTGGATTTTATTTGTGAAATGTGTAATGAATGATCTGCTGAGAGAGGAAAGGAAGGGAGGGATCTGGAAAGAACAGTAGCTGTGGAAACAGATGAAGGATCCAGCCAGGGACAGAAGAAAGAATGGCTGAGCAGCCTGGAGAACCCACTCACCTTGGACACCTAATTTGTAGTGGTCCCAGTGTCTCCAACGGTGAGATTTGCATCAGCAGTGCTCATTTCATGAACACTGAAAGTTTGCTGTGTCCGTATAGCCTCAGATGTTCTCTGCCTCATCAATTTACTGAAGAAATACTGTAAGTTTCTCAAGGATTTCTGACCTCTCTATCGGTTTGAAGATTTTTTAAAAATCTTGCTTATATAGGACCAGGGAATTCTTTGCAATAGATATACTGCCTGCCAAACTATATTTTGGGAGTTCCCATTCATTCTAAATTTCCTCAGCCTTTTGCACTGAGTGCTCCTTCAAAGCTCAGAAGAGGTGTTCTTTCCAACACCTTGTCGCTGTGGTGGAAGGACCAGCAGAGGCTCCTGTTCTCATTCAGCTTAGAAGCTGTGTGCCATATGTCCTGCAGACCATGATGCACTTCCTCCTCTAGAGGAAGATGGGTTTCAGACCCTCTCCAACATCCCCTCAGTAATTCCTCAGGCATATAAATCACTGGGGAGAGAAGGAGCTAAGTCCTGATGGAAGAACTGCCCCAGTAAGAGTGGGCTTGTCTTCCAGGAGCTCTCCCCAGCCCTTGGTCTGAGGGACAGGATGTGTGTTTCATCCCTGATCTTAATAAGCACGATTAAAAAACTAAAATCTCCATCATGAGTCAAACCATTTTGTCAGTCCTAGATACATCTCCAAGCTCAGTTTTATATGTAAGACAGTCTCATATGATTTTGAAATAGAGTATGTGAGATAATATACAGGTAGTTTTATAATCTCACAAAGTATTCTTTGAACCCAGACAGAAGATCTCAGGACATATAAGCCACAAAATTCTGATTACGGAATTGGTGTGACTTGGGGGGTTGCGCCCTAGTTCATACCTGCTTGGAAGACACCTCATGGTTATTCAGCCAAAGACCTAAATGGGCATCTACTGTTCATTTCCTTAATTTGGTAGTCTGACCTTGTGGACTTTGACTGCCACCTTGATGACATTCTGTAGGACTGGACCAACCAGCAGCTCCACACTCAAATCATCCAATGTGTTGGTCCTACCAATGGAAATGGCTGAGCCAGGAAGGTCAAAGTTCAATAAAGGGATGGGCTCGGGGGGAGGGGGAGTGAAGGCATAAGGAGCAAGATGACATAATTATAAATCATTATTTTTTAATATTTTTTATTTTATGTGTATGAGTGTATTGCCTGCATGTATGTAAGTGCACCCATGTCATGCAATGCCCACAGAGGTCAGAAGAGGGCATCAGATTCCCCTGGAACTGGAGTTCCAGATCCTGGTTAGCTGCCATGTGGGTAGTGGGAATCAAACTCTGGTCCTCTGCAAGAGCTACCAGTGCTC